GAGCCCGGGAAGACGGGTGCAGCGAAGGGAGAGGATAATGGCATCAAGTGGTGTGATAGAGTGTAATGGTGGGGGAGAAAGAGAGAGAGCGAGAGAGAGAGAGAGAAACAGAAACAATGAGAGCGAGAGAGAGAGAGAGGGAGAGAAAGAGAGATCGAGGAGGCGAGGGAGAGAGAGAGAGAGAGACAGAGAGATGGCGCATAAAATGTGGGTTGACGGATGTGTTTAGATATGTATAAGTGTGAGATGTCGATTGTCGTGTATTTTCTACACGGGGGAGATAGCAGAGACAGACAGAGATACAGACAGAGAGAGAGAAAGGAGAAGGGCTACTTTGTATACGTATATATATATATGTACATGTGTACGCACGCACAACTGTACATATATCTGTATATAGATAAAGAGAGTGAGGGGAAAAATGTATATCTGTGTATGTATATATATATATATATATATATATATATATATATATATCGAATGGGAGGGGGAGAGAGAGATAGAGAGAGTGAGAGAGAGAGAGATGGAAAGGCGGATGGGGGACGGAGCAATGAAGGGAGGGAAGGGCAGGGAAAGGAAGGGATATTATCGGTTTGAGTTGGGTTGGCTAGATGAGTGCACGAGTGCAGGGTCGATGGGGACGGTATTTTCATGCTAAGTTGCCTTCCGTAGACATTGTTTGGACCGTCTAGGAGACGAGCGTTTTGGTACGGTCTTCGTTTCGATCACTGGTCGCTACTTCCCGTCACCATTCCCGCGCCAGGTCATCGTCCACCCGCGAGTATTTAGCAATCATCATTACGATGCTATCGTTTTCATTTCGCCCTTCACCATCCACTATTCACTGCTCATCTTGCACATCGCACACGGATAAGGAAGGCATTGGCCTTCCCTCATATTTACGCATGCGCATGTCTATACATCTTGTTTGTTCACGTATGCGTATACGTATGTACTATTCTAATGGCCTTCGGCCCATCCCGCCTCCATGCCTGGGCTGGGTATGAAGCCTACTGGATGCTCGTTGGGATCTCGTGGGAGGCCTCTCGGGGGACTCTTGGAGGCAGTTTGAGATCTCTTGGGGTTCGTTTTGGGGCCTCTTGGGGCCTCTTTTGGACCTCTTGGTGGCCTCTTGGAACCTCTCAGGGGTCTCTTGGGGGCCTCGTGGGGCCTCCTGGGCGGCTTTGGGGGCCTCCTGGGCGCCTCTTGGGGCGACAGCTAGGATTTTCGGTTCGTGGACCCCCTCTTGGGCCCCCTCTTGGGGCCCTCTTGGGCCGGCTTAGGCGCCACTTGGGCCGTCTTCGGGCGCTCCTGACGGTCGGGGGCTCCGCGAAGGCCTGCGGGTCGTTTGGGGCGTTGCAGCCGTCCCGGAGGTCATGCGAAGCACCCCGAGAGCGCCGAGAGCGCCCGGGAAATTGGTGGTCGGGCCCCCTCAAGAAAATTACAGGGATGGCTGCATCAGCAGCACGGCTGTGAGCGCAATCTTGGCTGCAGCAGCAGCGCAGCTGTGAGCCTTGGGTCAAGGGAGGAAAAGCCGCTCGGACCAGACAATTGGCGTTGACTATACGGCCCTGGGCGTTTACTAAACAGCTCTGCCCTGTTTGAGTCCGTCTTTGGATGCGTTTACGAAACGGCTTCGCGTGTCGGGGTGGTATTATCAGGGTGGATTTTCTGCCCTCCGTGGGGCACTCCGCTTCGTGCCAGAGGCACGGCGGCGGACAATCATAGGAACTGGCGTCCAGGCCCCCAGGCCGCGGGGCAGAGCATTTTTCCCGAACTCCTCCCCCCTCAAGTAGCCATCGGTCGTTGAAAGTAGGTATTTTTGGATTCCCAGATTCCAATCTACTTTCAGCGCCTTCCTACTTCAAGAGTCGAGTGGTTTTCCCTCTTCCTTCCTCTTCAGGAGGCGTGCGGAAACCCAAGCTATTTCCAACGCCTTCCTACTTCATGTTTCTACCTACTTCTTCCGACCGATGGGAGTCGGGCATGTCCCTCGACAGGAGGAAGATTCAAAACTAGTCAAAAAAATAGTCAGGGGACTATTTTTTGTTTTTCGACCAAAAGCCCCCTGTGGGGGGACATGCCCGACCTAACAGTAGCCAACATTTTCCCCGCGGGGTCCTCGGTCCGGGCCTGCGCTTGGGGGGCGAGTATCTTCCCCGAGGGCGATCACACGGCCGTCAAGGCGGTTCAAGAGATGGGCCGGAGGGGGTCTCAGGCAGCCCACACGAAGCGTCTTAAACGGCCCAAGAGGCCCCACAGATCGTGTTGTGCGTGGCGGTTTGTGGTTTTCAGCACGCCGTTGTCACTGGAGAAGCACCGCCAGTGTGCAACGCCAGCCACGCATTCAGAGTCTGTTCGCCGTCCTGGTCAAGCGCAGCAGGGCGCGCAATTCAGGCGGCCGGGCCCAGACGACTCCTCCTGGCCACTTCCCATCCCAACATCTGTTTGCGGGGGCGTCTCGGTGGCATCGCTCAGTTTGATTTCATCGCGTGAGTTGGCGTATGAGAGTGCCCGCCTGCTGATAGTGCGGTGGTTTCTTTGCTGTCGCGTACTGCGAGCGTGCGTACTGCCAGCGTGAAGGAAACACCGGCCCCCAAGACCGCTCGAGATTTTTTTTTTACAGGCAAAGTCATGCGGTACAGATTTAAGTGTTTCGTCTGGCAACACTACAGGGTTAATACATCCTCTGGTCTGTCCCCGCCGGACTACAAACGCAAGTGTACACAAAGTGTAGACAATTGCTAAGATACATCATGTGGACATGCGCTGTCCAAGGGAAAACTGAAAGTGCGGAGTATGTAACGTATGAAGGTATATCAAATGTTGGCCGTAAGACGGGGCCAGCGACCTAGCAGATCAGGTGTCGTCTCTCTTCTTTGCAGCACATGTGGACCGTAACGCGGGGCCCACTCCCTAGCATAAACGAGGCCTCCTCCGTCGGAGAGGCAGGGCCGAGCTCGCGCGCCCAACCGGTTTGCCACGCACCGCCTCGGAAGACGAGGGAGGGCAGGGGCAGCAGGCAGACCTCGAGACGATTGGACAGAAACTGGCCCAGAACGCGTCCTGGGACCCGGACTCGGAAGATACGAACTCCCAGGAATTCGTATCCGGGACGCCCTCCAGACGCCCTCCCGCAAGCTCTCGGCGAGGTGCAACTCGGGGCCCGAAGTGTATGTCACGGTATCGGTGCATCAGAGGAACATAAAACCATCGAAGTTCCTCAACATGAGTATGTGCTTACATCTGGTAATTTGCCTCGGCCCCGGCTCAAACGCAAATGCCATGATTACGGCCTCCAGCCCACGGACACGTGGCAATTACCAACCAATGCCGGCATCCCGACCATCACCCTATCCAACACTTCATTGCAGACGCCGTCTGCGTCGGTGTTGTGCTCCCGGTAAACATGTTGCACTCTGACCTCGAGGACGCCGCTTCGTGCCCGGAGGGCCGCCAAAATCCCCAGCGCCTCTTCGTACAACACCCGCAACGAGGGCTCCAAGACCGCTCGAGAGGGCCCCAGGATGGCCCCAAAAGGGCCTCGAGAGACAAACATTGCTCCATTCCTTGGGGCATCTTTAACGATGTAAAGGATATTCGCTGTTTTGGCTTTCACTCTGCCAAGGAAGACCCCACAGGCCCCCCAAAAAATTACCCAAGAGACCCCCAAGATGGCCCTGGGATATCCCAAGAGGGCCCCAGGATGGCTCAAGAAGCCACAGAGATTGCCCCACAAGGCCCCAAGAGAGCCCCAAGAGTGGGAGCTGATATTTCCAGCCATCCGCCCCGAGCCTGCCAACAGCGTTCCAAAAGGCCACCAAGAGACCCCAAGAGACCCCCAGGAGGCCCACAACAGGCCCCAGAGAGGCCCCCAAGAGACCCCAAAGCGCTTCCGCAGCCATTTTGGCTCAAGTCGTTGTTTTTTGTTTTCTTTCTCTCGGGACATTTTCGCCTCGATCCTTGAACATTCCACTTTCGCTCGTAGCGCCCACAGGGATAGGTCGTCTTCTGTTGCGATGGCTGGGCTGCCCGCTTCCCAGGCTTTCGATCTTCCCACCGACGAGCAGGGCAAGGCCACCACGCTTCGCTTGCTCTCTTGGGGCCGGACGAAGGAGGCAAACCCCCACATGCGTGGATTTTGGTTCGCCACGATTTCCTTCTTCTGGGCTTTCGTCGGATGGTTCGCCTTCGCACCGTTGATGACAGTTGTGCGCGAAGACATCGGTTTGTGTGACGGCTTTGACGAGAAGGGGAAGTGCAAGTGCGGTGCTGGCACGGAGTGCAACAAACTCATCGGCGATTCTGGCTTGGCAGCGGTTGCAAGCACAATCTTCGTTCGGGTGTTGCTTGGGGGCTTTCTGGAGAAGTTCGGGCCGCGCAAGGTGCAGGTGGCGCTTCTAAGCCTCGGTGCAGTGTTTGTGGCGAGTTCCGCCGTGGTCACAGACGCAACGGGTCTCATCGTGGTCCGTTTCTTTATCGGCGCCGTTGGGGCGACATTCGTGGCGAATCAGTTTTGGAGTTCTATCCTCTTCAACAGAAAGATCGTGGGCATGACCAACGCGACCGCCGGTGGCTGAGGCAATCTCGGCGGAGGGGTCACCCAATTCTTGATGCCGCTTATCTACGGGATGTTCTTGAACGGCTTCGGAATGTCAAAGTCTGCGAGCTGGCGAGTCTCCATGCTAGTTCCGGCTGCAATATTCTCGACCGTCGCAACGTTAATGTGGTTCTTCTCCCAGGACACGCCCCACGGCAAGTTCGACGCAACGCAGTTGGGAAAGAGCAAGGTATCGCCCATGGACTACGTGCAGTGCCTCAAGGACCCGCGCGTGCCCATCATGATCATGCAGTACGGCGCCTGCTTTGGCACGGAGCTCGCGATGAATAACCGCCTGGCTCTGCACTTCAAGGACTACGACTGGAGCGACGGCGTAGTGCTCAGCGTCTCGGCGGCAGGCCTTGCGGCCTCGGCGTTTGGCCTCATGAACCTCTTTGCG